TTTTTGATTTATTGTAGAGATGAGGTCTGGCCAAGTTGCCCAGGCGGGTCTCGAGCCCGCGGGCTCAGCAATCCACTCACCTCAGCCTCCCAAAGGTGCGGGATGATTACAGGCTGAGCCATCGAGCCCAGTTAGGATCTGAATCTTAATAATGTGTTAAGATGATAATACTCAGGCCGGACTCAGTGGCTCAGCCTGTCATCCCAGCACTTTGGGAGACCGAGGTGAGTGGATTGCCTGAGCCCATGGGTTGGAGACCAGCCCGGGCAACTTGGGGAGACCTTGTCTCTACAATAAATAAAAAATTAGCTAGGTGTGATAACGCATGCCTGTAGTTCTGGCTACTTGAAAGGCTGAGGCGGAAGGATCGTAGGAGCCCAGCAGGTCAATGCTGTGGTGTGCCACGGCATTCCAGCCTGGGGGACAGAGTGAGACGCCAACTCAAAAAAAAAAGAAAAAAGATGCCAATACTCCCCTAATTATATGCAGATTCAACAAAATCTCTATCAAAATACCAAAGGACTCTTTTGCAGAAAATGACAAGGTGATCCTAAAACTGTATGAAAATGCAAGACCCTTAACAGCTAAAAAATCTTGAAGAAGAAAAAAAAGTAATTGAAAGACTCACATTTCCTGATTTCAGAATTTACTGCAAAGCTACAGTTATCAAAACTGTGTGATACTGCCCAAGGGTAGACATAGAGATTGATGGAATAAAATGGTGGGTCTAGAAATAAACTCTCGCTTTTATGAGCAATTTCTTTTCAACAATGGCACCTACTCAATGGGAAAAGAATAATCTTTTCAACAGATGAGGCTGAAACAACTAGATAGCCACATGTAAAAGAGTGAAGTTGGGTATCTTCTTTGCACCATGTACAAACATGAACTCAAAATGGATCAGAAGACCTGATTGTAGGATAACCACAACACTCTTAGACGATATCCTGGGCACAAACCTTTGTGACCTTGAACTAGGCAGTTTCTTAGATTTGACACCAAAGAAAAATAAACACAAGGGACATCATCAAGTTTTTAAAATAGTTGTGCTCCAGTGGATACATCAAGAAAGTGAAAAGGCAGCCAAGAGAATAAGAGAAAGTATTTGCAAGTCTCATGTCAGATAAGGGTCTGATATCCAGAACATATAAACAACTCTTAGAACTCCATAACAAAGAGACAGCTAGACAATTAAAAACTGAGCAGAGGATCCAAATGGACTTTTCTCCAGAGAAGACACACAAACAGCCAATAAGCGAATGCGATGATGCCAGCGCCATCACCCATCAGAAAAACGCAAACCCAAGCCACAGTGAGCCTCACCTCATGCTCGTGTGAGGACTGTCACCAGAGGACACAAGACCTTGATGGTGACAGGGAGAAACAGAAACTCTTGCCGTTGCCAAAGGGACTGTGAAAATGGTGTTGCCGCCTCAAAGAACACTTTGGAAGTTCCTTTAAAATTTAAAGATAGAGTTAATACAGCATCCAGCCCTTCCGCTTGTAGGCATGTTCCCAAGAGAACAGAAAACACATGTTTGCACAGAAACCTGTAAACACATGTTCAGAGCAGCATCACCCACAAACAGCCAAACATGGGAACAACCCAAGTGTCTATCAGCTGATACAAACCGATAAACAAAACGTGGCACATCCATCCAGTGGAATATGGTTCACCGGTGAAGAGAGAAATGAAATCCCGATACCTGCTACAACATAGATGGCCCTTGACCGCGATATCAGCGAGAACCACAGATTGTGTCAGCATGTACTTGGAATGTCCGGAATAGGCAAACTCAGACGGATCCGTGGTTGCCAGGGCTGGGAGACAGCTGGTCCTGGCTATTGGGCATGAGATTTCCTTCCGGGGTGGAATCAAAAGGGTTCTGGATTAGACAGCGGTGATGGTTGCACAGCGTGACTATTCTAGAAGCCACTGAATTGTATACTTTTTCAGGTTTGCTACGAGAACTTTATCACAATAAAAATAGCCGAAAAAGAAGTAACTTCCAACTGTCTCCATCCGTAAGCAGGGAAAGGCGTTGGCTCCTGGGACTCGTGGTGTCCCCCGGAAGGAGGGAGTCTTCTCCCAGGGTGGTAAAACCAGGATCTGCAGGAGACGCCATCACAAGAAAGTCTCCTCTGCTGGTGGCAGGCTGGACGCCCTGCCCTGGGGCCAGGACCCTTCCAGCCTCCTCTTCTCCCACCGCTTTCATCTTGAAGAAGCCGCATGAGGCCCTGGGGCTGTGGAACAGCGCAGTCCCAGTAGACAGGTCAGTGGCTACTGATGTTTCCTGGCTTTCTAAGCCCACGGGACACTGGACACAGAGAGGACACGGCCTCCTGTCTTTGAGGGGCTCCGTCCAGCTGGAAACTCAGGAGGAAGGAGACGGGAAGAAAGAAGAACCCCCTTTCGAGCCGCGTCGAACCCACGTGCGCGCCATCCACTCTGAGCGCTGAGAAGCGGGGCTGGACGGGGTGGGCGCGGGACAGGCCTCACAGCCTACAGGAACTGCGTGCCGTTCCTCCGCGAGGGTGGTGCTCCCGTCCACACGCTGCTCCTCCCAGCCTACCGAGAGCCCCTGCACCCTCATTTTCTTCTTTTTTTTTTATTTTTTTTTGAGTCAAGGTCTTGCTCTGTCACCCAGGCTGGAATGAAGTGGCACACTCATGGTTCAGCACAGCCTCGGCCTCCTGGGCTCAGGCGAGGCTCCATCCTCAGCCGCCCCCACATCCGGCTAATTTTTTGATTCTTTGTGGAGACGAGGTCTTGCTATGTTGCCCAGGCTGGTCTCGAACTCCTGGGCTCAAGCAATTCTCCCGCCTTGGCCTCCCAGAGTGTTGGGCTTATAGGTGTGAGCCACCACACCCAGCCCTCACGCTCCCTGGTTTCTAAAAGGGCCATCAACGGGGCAAGGAAACACAGAAACCCTCAGGTAGAATTTTACATGCAGGTTTGGAAATATGAATGTAGAACATTCTAGAAGCACAGAAGGCCAAAGTCCTCACGTGTGAGAAGACATCCAGCAGACACCCGAATTCCATCCGTCCCCCGCCCCCACGCTCGGCATCCTGGTTTCTCACCTTCCCCCCCGCCCTGCACCCCCTTCCCTTGGAACACCTGCAGCTGGGCATGACTCCTCTGGGATCTGCCTCCCCCTGGAGTCTTCACCTTGGAGGGGGAGCAGCCATCGCCCAGCCCTGCCGCCGCACCCTGCCCTGGGCCCTGCCCTCTTTCCCTTGACCCAGTGCCTTCCGGGTGGGAGCAAACCTTCCTACGAGGTCCGGGTCTCTCCTCTGGTGCTGAAGCAGCCCACAGAGACTCCCCAGGCAGGGTCCGGTCTCTCCACTGCCCTGCAGAGCGCATGGCCGGACACAGCCAACTCCAGCCCTGATCGGCGGACAGCGGCCCAGGCCCTCACCGCTGTTCCCGGAGCGCCGTGTCCTCAAATCCCACCTCTACCCCCAACACCAGAAGGCGCAGATTCCCCCGAGGAGGAGGGGTAGCTGTAAATCCCCTTCTATGCCGAGTCCAGCACATGGGGGAAGGGCAGGCCGGGGGCTTAAGTCACAGACCCTTCCTGTTAACCCCTTCAGCGTCTGCTGCCCCCGGCACGTGGAGCAGAAGGAGGTGATCAGGGAACAGGGACCCTGGGAAGGGACGTGGCGGGCACAGGTGGACAGCAGGCCAGCGGCAGACAGCAGGTCACGGGCGCCCTGGTGGGCACTTACCAGGGACCGCTTTCTCGTAGCAGACGCTCTTGTAGAAGCAGCACCCCAGCATCTTGCATCGGTCCCGGGAGACATTGTAGTCACAAATGTCATACAGAGTAATGTCGCACACTGCAGGGACACAGACACAAGAGCGTGTCACGGGCAAGCACAAGGGCCACCCGGCCCTGGCTCAGGAACGTGGCCCGGCGGGGATGGCTGTGAGTGCGTGTTGTGGCTTTGTTATTTTTTAAGTTATGCACCATGCAAACCTCTCTCCGAAACTAAGATCTCACGTGAATTAAATTTCGGAGCAAAATAACGTCATGTTCATCACACAGAACAATGTGGGCCCTCCGATGAGAGGCATCGCCATGGCGTGGCGCCAGGCCCGGCTGGGACAGAGACCGAGGGGGCGTGGGCTGGCACGAGGGGGCCGGGGGAAGCAGGCGCAGTGTGGAATTAATTCACGCTGGAGCAGCAGGGGCTGGAGCTAGCAGCGCAAGTGGAGGGTTATCTCGGAACTGAAAAACTTGAGTCAAAAGGACAGAAAGTTGAATGCCAGTCTGGGCCGAACAGGGAAACAAAGACAGGGTGGTGCCCGCATGCGCCTCGGTAGGAGATCATGGCGGCGGCGGGTCACCTCCTGGCTGAGCTCAGCCACAAGCCCACGTCAGATTCGAGGGCCGCGGTCCCCTTGTGAGCAGAGGACAGCCAGGTGATGGCACCGGGTGGCAGACAAACCCCACAGGCCGAGGACACAGGGACACACGGAGGCCGCTCCTAAGTGAGCTGCCATCCCACAAAGCCAGATGTGGGCTCCCCACGTCGGGGCTGCCCCCAAGCCGCCGGGGTCTCCTGAGTTGCCCGAGGGGTGGCTCCCCTCCTGTCCGCTCACCAGCCCTCGGGGACCCGCATGCCTCCCTTAGGGCTGGTCTAGCCTTTCGGGCCGAAGGGCTGCCCGCCGAGCCTGCCGCTCCTAAACCCCTGACCCAAGACGCCCCACTCCAGGATTGCAGAGGCTGCCTGTCGCGGACACGTGGCACCACCGCCCATGTACGCCCGCCACGGCATCGCGGATGGACACGCCTGGTTCACCTCCTGCTGCCCCACTTGGGCTGGATGGTGCAGGTGCACGTGGGGCTTGAGCTGGCCTCCCGCGCTGGGGAAGGATAGGCACCGGGAGAGGCCCCACGAGGGCAGGCGGGTGCGGTCCTCAGGACAGCCAGGCTCACAGGAGCCCGGGATGGGGGGCAGGGTCGCGGGCGGGCTCTGCCTGGACAGGCCAGCCCCGCCTGTGCTCCATGCAGTGGCCCGTGTGTATCACGGCACGTGACCCCATGGCGCTCTGCTCCCGGGGTGCCCAGGCACGACGGCCTCCTCTCTGGGCTGCAGCCCTGGAGTCCACACAGCCGGGACCATCACAGATACTGCATCCATGCGTCGGCACCCCAGAATTCAGGCAGGCCGTCGCCTCCATTTTCAAAAGATGGTGATGGCAACGATCTTAGCGGCCAACGCTGGCTTGCGCCCTGGGCGGACCCTCTGCCGCGTCTGGGAAGACCCGGTGAGCAGGACTCTGGGAGCCGGGACACTGAGCTGGGCAGTGGCCCCTGGCCTTGGGGCTCCCGTGCGCTCCCGGGTGCGCGCCCCCACCCCACCCACCGGCCAAGGCCCAGGGAACACGCGTGTCCAAAATGCACTCCAGGTGACCAGGACGGGAGTTTCAGCAAACAGCCGGGCAGGAACCACCCGGCGAGGGAAGCACCGTTCTCACCCACGAGCAGGTTTGTTCTCCTCAACCTCACGGCACGAATGGAAACCGTGGCGCACCGTTTCTCATGGGGACGGCTGGGAAATGGTAGCTGGCTCCCGGCCTCGTGTTAAAGACCCATCCCCATCGCCACCTGACAGAGTCCCCCGTCCTAATCCTGCACCCTCACGACGTCTCTGCACATTTCTCTAAATCCTCCAGACCCTGAAGAAACATGTCTCGATCACTTCCACTCCGGCCTCACCCTCCGCTGTGCTCCACATCCCAGAACAGCCTTTGGTGTCGGGGTGAGCTGAGGCTTTGGGGGCTCTAGCAACAGCTCACAGCCATCCGGGGCCCCGGGGCCTGTGGAGGGAGGTCTGGAGACCCCGAGGCAGCGCCTGCTTCCTGCCGGAAACATCAGCTGCCACTGGCCCAGCGCGTGGCCACTGGACACCCATCCGCTGGCACCGGCAGCGGCGTCTCCAGGGGGCTCTCTGGCCGGGGCAGCCTGAGCTTTGCGACTCGCCACCTGGCTGTCCCCTGAGCTCCTGCCATGTCCATGACAGCCAGGCCAGGAAGGAAGGGAGGGGCTGTCAGCCGAGCCAGGCTTTGGGAGCAGGGATGGCGGGTTGGCCGAGTTCCTCCAGCTCTGCAGAAACAGAGGCTGGGGCCAAAGAAATAAATGTGAAGTGCACATGCAAGGCGAGGCGTGGGGACTCACGCCGGTAATCCCAGCACTTTGGGAGGCTGGGATGGGAGGATCGCTCGAGGCCAGGCGTTCAAGACCAGCCTAGGTAACATGGCGAGACCTCGACTCTACAAAGAATCAAAAAATTATCTGAGCATGGTGGTTTGTGCCTGTACTTCCAGCTACTCGGGAGGCTGAGGCAAAAGGACCACCCGAGTCCAGGAGGCTGAGGCTGCGGTGGCCACTGCACTCCAGCCTGGATGCCAGAGTGAGACCCCAACTCAAAGAAAAAGGAAGTCTCGTGGTTTCAAGAAAAGGGTCCTTCAGTTTTGGAGATTTGTATGCTGTTTTTATCTGTGGTGAAGATACTCTCAGGTCCCCTCCTGCTTGGGAGCTTTTTTGTCTTCCTGCTTTCTCACACAAAACAAAAAACCCAACTTGATATAAAGTTTAAAACTCCAGTCTTAGGCGAAGGGATCTCTGGTGTCGGCGATTGCTACGCTGTTTGTGGCATCGGCTGCAAAGACACTTTCAGCCCCACTACAGACGGTGTCACGGCTCACCGGCAGAAGAGGCCGCACGGGCCTGAGGGTCCCGGGGTGCTGGGTGGAGACCAAGACGCCCGCTGCGTCTCCACAAGGCCTGAGTATCCGCTGCACTTCCCTGTGGCTGCTGTACTCAGGATCGCCGGGTTTTCTGTTCCAGCCAGGATGGCGCTTCAGAAGCCTCCCCCGAGCCGGCCTCACTGCCGGGATCCCTGCACCAGGACGTGCTAGGCGCCGTAGGGACAGCGTGACTGGGAGGTGTCGCCCAGCGGCAGCCTCATGCCTGCGTTCTGATGGCATCCTCCCAACAGGGAGGGCAGGCCTCAGAAGTTCTGGAAGCTTCCATGGGGCCGCGAGGTCACAGCCCTGAGTCTGTCGGCCCCTTCTGCAGGAAGCCATCCGCTGTCTCCTGCTGACCCATCTCTGTGTCCAGCCCTTCTAGGACCCAGGATGGGAGAGACACAGATGGGAGGGGAGGACCGGGTTCGGACCGCTGCCCTGTGTGCCACGCCCAAGGCTCCCCATCACCCAGGGAGTCTCCGGGCTTGGCTTCTATGGGACACACTCCCGAGGTGACTTTCACAGGAGAGGGAGGGAGGAGGGAGGAGAGTTTGTTTTGTTTTCTTCGAGTTGGGGTCCACAGAACACCCGCTTACTGTCCACGGAGGCACCCACCCCCCCAGTGGGAAGGAGCTGGGAGGCACCGTGTCCTCCGCCAGCCTCCCTGGGCTCTGAGGCCACCCTCAGCAGCCAAGAGCAGGGCCTGGGCACAGCTGGAGAGGCAACAGCATCCCAGGGTCTCCGGCATCCTGGCCAGCCTGGGAAACACTTCCCGGTCTGCCTTCAGGCCAAACTAACACAAAAAAATCTTTTCTTTCCCTTCCACTTCTTCAATTTTGCGTGTTACAAAATCAGCACATGAATATAAGATCCACTGAAGAAGAATTAAAGCAGCAAACATGAGCGGCGAGAGGCGGGGTTGCCCTCCCAGGTGCTTCCGGAATGTTCCCGCACCTGACTTCAAGCTGTCTATGCACACCAGAAACATGCCTTGGGGAACACCATACTCCGACACCGTTCCTCCAGCCCCAGGGCAGTGTCTGCCTCAGATCACAGCCCCAGAGGGGAAGGGGAGGGGGCTTCTTGGGTGGGAAATATTTCTCCTCAATAAAAAATCACTCCCGCAATAAAAAGTATCAAGGAGTTGAAGGGCAAATTTGGCAACTCACAGAGAAAACACCTTTAATCCCTTCGGTACCTGGGAAATAGCTACATACGAGGGAGGGACCCCCAAAACCCCAGATTTTATTTATAAAAATGGCATGTTCTTACATGGTTAAACTCCCGTCACCTTCGAAGTCCTCTCTGTTGGATGCGGTCTACCTACTGAGATGCTTTTTCTACGGCTCAGAACAGTGTTTGAACTCTTCCCTTTGGAGGCTTTGCGGTGCTTCTGCCCCTTTTGGTTTCGCCTCTTCCCCATCGGCAAAACGTTTCCTTTGAGGACTTTTTCATGAGGGAAACAAAGTCACTCGGGACAAGATCAGGTGAATAGGGAAGGCGGGGCATGGGTTCATGCCGCTTGGGGTGCAAGACCGCTCAACACTCAGCGCGACGTGGTGCGCTCGTAAACCACCCACCATGAGACGGACCCACGCATTGAAAGAATCTCAGAAAAGTTAACTGAGACCGAATGCCTCCTCTCATCACCACGCAGGTGAGTCCACGGGTGATGATGAGCTCCCGGAACACTCACCTGGCGGGGAAAGCCTGGCCTGCCAGGGGCCCGCCCTCCAGAAGATAATCCCATTTGGGGCTCCCTCGCCCCCATCCAGTTCTTGTTTCTGAGTACGTAGAACCCCGGGTTCTGGTGGTTTCTGTAGTGAAGCTGAAGAAAACAGAACCTTGACCGTGTTTTGCCAGGTTTTGACAAGTGCCGGTTCCTGCACTCCTCTCGCTAGGCCTGGCGACACGGCCTCAGAGTCAGCACTTGGATCCAAATACCCCCTGGCCGCCCCAAGCAGACTTTTCTTGTTACCTGCGAATTGCTTGAGGAGGTGCGGTGGGGACTTCTTGATTTCCGGCACGTATTTCATCGCGGCTGACGGATGGGCACGGGGCCCGGGAACCTAGAAAACAGGACCCTCAGCTCGGTGGCACCTCTGGGGGTCCGCCGGAGAGGGGTGTGTGGTTCTGGGGAGCGACGGGCCAAGCCAGGGGGGTGTCCCACAGCTCACCTGCCCACGCGTCCCTGGGGGTCCTCCCGGCCACCGACTGGCTCACCACGCCAAGTGGAGAACGGCTCCTTGTTAAGACAAGATACTGGCCACTTCCTTCTTCCACTGCTCACAGAGTGGACTGGGGCAAGACCAGGCCTGCCCACCCACTATGACATCACACAGACCCGTGAGGTTACATGGATGTCACACAGGGCTTCGGAGTGATGTGGGTGTCCACCTTCCGCTGGCTGCGAGGCCCGAGGCCACTCAGATGACCAGGCGTGGGGAAGAGCCCTAGGGGCAAGGTTGCTGCTGGGGACACCATGGCCCAAGTATTCCCCCGTGGGACATTCGCCTTGCTGTCCTCTGAGCCCGGCTGCAGGCCCAGGTGTTGCCTTGGATGCCCCCTTTTCCAGGCACTGCTGGACACAACAGTGGACAAGACAAAGTCCCCTCCTCCCATGGAAGGGGATAGGACACCAATGTCTGATCAGCCCGTGCTGGGGGTTAGGGAGAGTTGGGCGGGGCTGACCGCCACTGACATGGGGAATGAGCAGCCTCTGTAAGGGCCGGGCACCCAAGGCCGATGGTCAGGGCGTGCAAAGACCTGGGGGTGAGGCCAGCTTGGAGACTGGAGAGAAAGGAAAGAGGCTTGCAGGGTCCGAATGACACAGACGAGGCCCAGAGGCCACAGAAGGGCACAGCATGGGACCCTGAGGGCCACGGCCAGGACTGTGGCCTTTCCTTTGAGACAGCAGGGCTGTGACTGGACTTTGTGCAAAGAAACCGAATTCTGCTTTAACATCTTGCTGAGCTGGAAACGGCTGTCAGGGCGAAGGGAGCCAGGGGACGACGGCGTCCCCCGGCAGACGTGGGCTCATGTCACCTGTCAGGTGGCGACGGGACGCTTGTCTGTCCTCAGACTCGAAAGACGGGCCGCCCGTCGGTGTGGAGCGCAGGGGAAGGAAACAGGTTAGCGCGGCCGGGGATCG